CTTTTGAGCTAAATAAATAGCAGACAAGTTTAGAGAGGTCTGCAGGTACTGACCTTGGGTCCTTCTCACACAGGTCACCAGGATTCTTGTGTTTCCTGCTCCTGACATTTGCGATTCTGTTTATCATTTTATTGACAGGGCTTTTGCTGTGAGCTCCTCCAAATTCTTGGCGGAACAAAGTTAAGTATTTCTTATGACAGGTTCCATCATGTCTCAGCGTGTGACATCCCATATTGACAGCGTCTGCTCTGGGAAGCAGAAATGCTATTTCTCTCTCCAGCTGTTTCTTTCCAGCTTCCAAGTTGTTGCAGACTCACTCAGGAGTATGGGGTTTGGATCACACCATGTGTTCCCATTTCTTGCCCATCAGCAGGCAACCAGGCCTTTAGCACAAGTTTCAGAAGATAAATCAAACCCAAACAGATATCAGCAATGATGACCAGAGTCAGAACATGAACCCAAACCTACCTAACCCACTTTACTCCTCTTTATCTATCACATCAACCTTGAGGCCTTTGTACTCTTAAGCCTCAGTTTCTCCATCCATAAGTGGAAAGGACTAAAAACAATAATTCTTAGAGTTCTAGTGTTCAATTTTTTGCTTTTGTGATTCTCAGTGGAGACCCCAGATTCTGAGCCACCTCCATAGTCAGGGGCTTCCTTTGAGCATTTGGAGCAGGGACTCACTTACAGCCCCTGGATGGGATATCAAATTGGGTAGGCGGTGGCTGGTAGGTTGGCCTAAGGCGGGGGTCTAGATATAGCAGGCAAGGCTTGGAGGTACTTCCATGGGGGCCCTAGCCTTGGAGTGCACTGAGATGGGGAAGCTGAACCCCTCTGGCATGTGTCACAAGAGGTCATAAGCAGAAAGCAGGAACAGGGAGCCATTGACACTACCCTGTACAGATCTGGAGCCACCTTACATGTCCTCAGCTGGGCCAAGACACCTTCTGTGAACCTGATGCTTTCTATATCCCTTCCCATGTTTGCCCCTGTCACCATGCCTGGCAGGTGGAAAAGTTGCTCATCCCCAAATCCAGCCACTCTTTAGAATCCTCTTTTAACCTGACCCATTCTCATATCTGGCATCTCCAAGCTCCCTGCTGGGTACCTCTTGAAGTTCATGAAGACCACGGCAGATAGGACATCATCCTACAGCCCGGATCAGACTGTACATCTTATCCTTTCATTGAACCCCTCGGTGGCTTCCTGTCGCCTTCTTTCCCGGCCTGCAGAGTCTCACACGTCTACCTCTATGATCACTGGCTTCTTCACTGCACTGAGACTACACAAGCTCATCGCCCCGAAGGCCTTAACCTTCTCTCTGCTGGGGAAGCTCAGAATATCGCTTTCCTGGATCTTTTTATCTTTCTGGCCTCAGCTTAAATGTCACTTTCCTGAGAGGCCCTGGAAAGGAGCCCATCTCCCAGACCCTGAGCTCTTAGTTTCCCCTTTGTGTTCGGTGCCAGGTGAGGGGGACATAGCAGCCAGCAAGACACATCCCTGTCCTCAGCGCCCCATGAACTCTACTGAGATATTAGTCACACCACACACAAAGTGACTAATTGCCCCCACAGGAAGCACATGGGTCATCATGGAAACATACATTGGGAACCCAGCTTACTGTAGGGGTGAGGCTTCCCTGTTTTTGTCTAAGAATTACCATAAAGTTTAAAATTATAGGACTTCTGGTTTCCTTCAAGATGAAGCAGCCTCAGTCTTCCTGGCCTCCTCCATTACCATAAAAACCACAGACATGATGGAAAAACAGGTAGACAGGTAGAAATGCTTTCTGCAGGGACAGAGATACAGAGAGAGAGAGAGAGAGAGAGAGAGAGAGAGAGAGAGAGAGAGAGAGAGAGAGAGAGAGAGAAAAGCAGAAGGAAGGTAGGCAGCCTAGGAACCTCAGGGCTTGTGTAACATGGTAGTGGGTTTCTCAGGGACAGAGTACAACTGAGTTGTTCAACATAGAACTGCCCGCAGACTCAAAATAATAAAGCATCAAGAAAAACCTGTTGGCTTAGGAAAGGGTAGTCTAACAACAGAAAATCTTTTGTTCTACTCCAGCCAAATAGTAATAGAAAAGTTGGAGTGTCTTCCTACTTTTCTTGCTGTGCATATTCCCCAGGATGGGGCAGGAGTCTGATCTTCTGCCCCACCTCTGCCCCTTGGAAGCAGACGGGCACGGGTATCAGATTCTCCTGCCAGGGTAGTGTCAGTGGATCCAGCATGAGCTCAGCCCCTAACCCACCCTCACCTGGTGGCAATGAGACACAATGTGGGAATGCATGGCAGGGGTATTTAGAGGGCAATTTACATTTGATGCCACCAATTTCCCATCTAGTTGGCAATCATCTATGGGTCCAGAGAGAAACCACCTCTTACCCACGCTGCTGCCAATGAAGCAGAATGAGGTGGAGAAAGCAGGCTGGCTGGTGCTCTGTTCCCTGCTTTGTTACCCTGGAGAGCTAAGCTTCTGCCTGTGCACTTCAGGAGCAAAGAAGGGTGAGTCAGTCCTAGCATCTCTCACCCTTGGGTCGCTAGGGCACAGTAGAATGCTGAGCTTGACACCTGTACTCAGGGGTAGCAAGACGGTAGAGTTGGAGTCCATCCTTGCATGTAACTGGGAAAGCACATACGCCATCTGGAACACATCCATCCATCTGGCTGTCGTGCTACAACTGGTGGTGTAAAAAGAAAATAGAATGCAGAGTCTTATAATATTCACAATGTTCAATAAAAGGAATCAGTTATAATATCATGCCAACAATAGGAAAATCACAACTTGAACAAGAAAAGATAATCAACAGATGCCAACATCGTATTATATGGTGGAATGAATCTGACAAAGACTTTCAAGCAGGCAACATAAAAATGATTCAGTAAGCAATTATAACTTCTTTTGAAATAAATGGAAAATAAAACATCTCAGCAAATAAATGGAAGCTATTAAAAAGAATAAGAAGGAAATTATAGTATTGAAACACACAATGACCAAAATAAAAATTCAACATGTGGCTCAACAGTGAAGATGAGAGAGAATTAGTGAAGTTTAAGACAGATCTCAAGAATTTACTCATTCTGAGCAGCAGAGAGAAAATAGATCGGAAAAACCAAACAACACCAAAGTTTCAGAGACCGTACAAGAGCGACAGAGCTAACAGTCATATCACGGGAGCCTCAGAAGGAGATGAGAGAGAGCGAGACTGAAAAAGTTATTTGAAAAAATAATAGAGAAAAAAAATCCCCCAATTCAGAGGAAGATATATACCTACAGATTCAAGATGAGCAGACCTCAAATAGCATAAACCCAGTGAAATTCATGTGAAACTGCATTTAATTAAACTTCTAAAAACTAATGATAATGAAGTCATCTGGAAAAAAGCACATTATTTATAAATGTGACAGTTAAGCTTGGTTGTGTTAAGGAGATTGTCTGCATAGGGGGTTACTAGGGCACACTTCTGGGTGTGTTCATGTGGGCTGTGGAGGCATAACGTTGGGATTTACATCTGGCCCCTCATCCCTTTCTCTCTGACATTTTCCCCTGCTCTGTTTCTGGCTGCCATGAACGGAGCATGTTTGCTCTATCATACCTGCCTGCCATGGTATTTCTGCCTTAGAGTCTACCAACTGTGGACTGAATTCCTTAAATTTTTGAGCCAAATTAAACTTTTCTTCCTTTAATTTGTGGCTGTTGGGTATTGTATCTTAGCAATGAGGGGAGCTAACAAAGTTACAGCGATTTGAGTGATAGCAGATGTAGTTTTCAAAGCCGAGAAAGCTCAAATTAAGCTTTCAACAGCTTTCAAGTACAGAACACAAAGAACTGCTACTACAAATTCTGTATTCAGTAGGAATAGCCTTTGAGAATTAGGGGGACCCTGGACACATGGCAGAACCTGTAATCCCAGCACTTGGGAGATTGGTTGAGGAGGATTACCATGCGTTTGAGGTCAGCCTGAACTACATAGTGAGACCCTAACTTAAAAAAAAAAGTTAAAGGGGAAAATAATGATATTCTGAGATGAAAAAAAGCTAAGACAATTTATTCCTTAAATAAAGGCTAAATAAAGGGTCCTAAATTAGAAAGAAATGACAATAGAAGTTTGGGGCTCCAGAAAAGAATAAATATGACCAGGATGCATAGGGGTAAAAGCTCTAGACTGTCCTTGTTCCCATGTTTTCCTTAAATAATATTTGGCGATTGAAGCAAAAGCTGAATGATATCTAATATGGCACTCAATGTATGCAAAGGAAGTATTTAAGGTAATTATAAAGTGCAGAAGATAAAGGGACCTAAATAGAAGTAAGAAGTCTAATTTCAGTCACAGTTATATATGTATGTGTGTCAAAATTCTTAGAGAAAACACTAAAAAATCTATATACATTATGGTCTCAAGAACATTACATATGAATCTATATGGAATCCTAAAAGACGTTTAGATAAGAAAAGAGATACAGAGGAATAAGAAACAAAATAAATGCAGAAAACAAAAAATAAAACACTAGACTTAAATACTAACATATCACCAGTTAAATATAATTTGTCCAAATGCATGAATTAAAAGACAGAAATTGACAGTGTGAACAAAAAAATTCCCTGAAACCCACACAATCTAACAATATGCTGCATGCAAGTAACTCATTTCAAATACAACATAGGCAGATTGAGATTTTAAAAGTGGAAAAAGATACACCATGAAAGTGCTAATGAAAAAGCAAGAGTAACTATGTTAATATCAGATGAAGTAGACTTCAGAGCAAAGAATATTACTAGAGAGAAAGAAGGACAACAATTAATAATAAAAGGATCAACCCACCAAGAAGATATAATAATATTAAATATATATGTACTAAATAATAAAAAAGTACATGGAACAAAGATAAAGTTGAAAGGCACAGTAGGCACATCTAAACCTGTGGTAGATGTCTTGGTCACTTTCCTCATTGCTGGCATAAAATAACTGACACCCACAATTTAAAGCAGAGAGGTTCATTTTTTATTTACATTTCAGTCTGTAGTCTGCTGGCTTCAAGGTAGGAAGGGACGGCAGAGGAAAAGCTACTGACATTATGGGAGCTTGAAAGCAGGAAGTAAGCAGAGGAGGTTGGGTGGGAGATAAATCATTCCGGGCCACACGCTTAGCAACCTGTTTCTTCCAACCAGACTCCACCTGGTAACAACTGTCAGTTATAAGCTCTTACAATCCAATCACCTTCCAGAAGTACTCGTCTCCAAGCACATGAGGCTCTTGGGAAACATCTACATATAGTAATCACAACAAAGGGTGGCTTCTCGGTAACTGATAAAAAATAGGAAATAGTGAAGATATAGAAGATCTGAACAGGATCAAAATTGATATACATTTTGCTCAAAATAGAATACACATTTATTTTCAAGGGCTTGTGGAATACTTAAAAAATAGGCCATTTCTAGTGCCGCAAATAATAAAAAGCAAAATAAAATGTCAACAAATGGGCTTAATAGCTAAATGGAAAAGAGTCTGTCAACTTGAAGATAGAATAATAGAAATTGCTCACACTGAGCAATAGAAAGAAAATACTCTAGAGAGAAAAGCAAAAACAGGGTGTTGGGACTTATAGCACTATAATTAAAGAGGTAACATGCATGTCAGCAATGTCTCAAAAGATAAAAGGAGGGGATGCTGAGAAACTATTTGAAGAAATAATGGCTGAAGATTCCTCAGATTTGTCCAAAGACATTACACATCACAGTAACATTTCTGAAAAATAAAGACAAAGAAAATATCTTGAAAGCAGCAAAAGAGAAATGATACCTTGTCTATAAGGGACATATATTAATAACAAGGATTTTTCATCTAAACCGTGAAGACTAGAAGGAAGTGGCACATATTTTTCAAGGGCTGAAAGGAACCCAGAATCCTATATTTAGTGATGCTATCCTTCATGAGGAAAGAGGAAATCAAGACATCCTCAAATGAAGAAGAAACAGTTTATTACAAACAGAAGTACCCTAAAAGAATGGCTTAAAAATACTCTAAATAGAAAAGATATTATAAAAGAAGGAATCCTGCAATACTGGTAAGAACTTAAACAAAAGCTATTAGTTTTTACAAACAAAAATAGGTAGCTTAAACAAAAATCATGACACTGCCTGATGTGTATATAAGTGTATGCCTAAGAAATAGTTAAAATACTAATGTAAAGGTAGGAAGGTAAAAAGAGGTAAGATTTCTCCATTTCTCATAACAGGTTTTGATAGCTTGGAGCAATAGTGCTTTCTTATCTAAGACTCCAGTGGATTCCTAAAACCTTGGATAGTATTGGGCCATACTAAAAGCACCGTGATACCGAAAATGCTGCCAATCTGATCACCAAAAGGGTTAGTTACTAAGTGACTAAGGAGGGGGTTCTGTATACAGCATGGAAACTCTGGACAAAGGGATGGTTCACATCCTGGATGGGATGACCCAAGGTTTCATCACACTAATCAGAACAGCATACAGTTGAAAACTTAAGAATTGTTTATTTCTGGAGTTTTTCCATTTAATTTTTTGGGGCAACGGTTTACCTTGGTTAGCTGAAATAGAGGACAGCAAAACTATGGATAAAGGACTACTGCATATATAAGGTCACACCTAGAGTGACCAATTAAGTTGTTATACAGAGATTTACTCAAAAGCATTAGCGAGTCATCAAGGTTTAAGTCTGAAAAATAAGAATTCCAGCAGAGCTCAACCCTCGACTGTGCTGTGCCACTTACTTGCCTCTTTCTCTGGAGGAGTAACCTTCAATCTAAATCTCCCCACAAGTCCCCATCTCAACCCCAGCTTCTACGGAGCCTGTCCCGCCCTGAAGATCTGAAGAGCAGCCTCTCTTGTACACCTGCTGCTCTGCTGCCCATATGCTTCCACGGGGGCTGATCCAGAAGGGTCTGTCCCCAGGCTCCGAGGAGGCTGGCTCCTAAGGTCTTGCAGCCACAACATCCTGAGCTGACTCCTGATTCTTCTCACACCTGCTCTAGTCCTCATGAAACCCATCCTCTCTGCAATTTCCACGTCATGGTCTCTGCTCCAGGTTTGATTAACACAGTATTATAAACAAGTTCCAGGAAAAAGGAAAAACAGCATCTTCCCAGGGTAGCCATGGTGTACTGGCAGATGGCAAATTGCTTTGTAACCCTTATTTTTGTTTTCTTGACTGTTATACAGATAAAGAATTAAGTTAATTAATATGCACTTCTTTCTGTCTTCAGGGCTTAGGAAACTCTTTGCCCCAGAGTGAATAGGTTACCATGTTTCAATAAAGGATCTGTTTTTGCAATTATAGTTCATTAACAGATTTACAAGGGAGGGAGGGCGATTAAGTCTCACTAAGAGGATTATTTTGCATTTCTCCTCTTTTAATTACACAGTTATCTCCTGGACCAAAGCTCTGTGAAAAATAGGGGGAAAGTCCCAATACCCCATCTGTTCCAGATGCAAGTACAATTAACATGGGAGAAGACAGGAGCTGCACTGGGCATCCTGCTGATGGAGACCGTGAGCCTCCTCTCCAGAGCTGTCTCACGGCTGGGAGGCTCAGCCGCCAGAGCTGTGTTGGCAAGGGAAGGGCTGCTCTGCCCAAGGGGTGCAATATCTGGGGATATGGATCAGGACAGGCTTGAAGCTCTATGAAGCTACCATTTCTCAGGCACCTCCCATGTTCTGGGGACTTTTCCAATTTAAACTTCATAGTGATCGCTCTTATGGACCCATTTTATAGTTAGAGAAACTGAGGGAGACAGATACATGCAGGGACTGGGCTAGACAGAGATGGTGGGTGATGAATATTTTATACTATAGATTTTAAAGGTGAATCATGGCTGTGCAGAACTTACCTGAAATTGGACCTGGAATTTGAAGTCATGCTTCTTCCCCCCAAAATTTCTTTTATTTCTATTCCTTTTTGCTATTATTTGATGCTGTTCCTTCTGTATCTCAGCTTCCACATCTGTGAAATGGGCTCTGGACTCGAGACAAAATGAATATCTTATACTTGGTAGGGCATGTTTTGAAAAGAATGGGGCCCTGGGTTGAAAGGTGTGGGGCTGGTTGGAGGGGCATGACCTGGGGAGGGGGCACGCTGTGTCTCTAGGAATGGGGGGCCTCCAGTCCGTGGCACCAGGGTTGGCTCAGCAGACTGAGTCAGAGAGCTGGTTTTATCCCTGACGTCACCTGAGGCACATCAGCAGCACTGGTCCCTGTAGCATCACATCCTCTTTCTGCAGGCCCTGAGGCTCTCATGGATGTACTGGCAGGGAAAGGAGGGTGTTAGAGTCACCTAACAGAGGTGTTGGAGGTGCCACAAAGGACCATGGGGACTGCGTTCCCGGGCTTTGGTGTCAGTTAGCTCTGTCTCTGGCATGCTGGGTGGCTCTGGCCTGTGAGCACAGTCTGGGACTTGGGTGCTCATGCAGTAAAAGCAGAGAACACGCCCCGTCACTGAGGTGGCGCCTGCGAAGTGCAGAGCGCTGGTGGGTACCGAGGCCTGTGGACTGGGTAGCTCCTCCGTGGTGACGGCAGGGTTTGGGGTCACAGCTCAGTCTCAGGCATGACCAGGCTCCAAGGAGGAGGCAGTGCTTCCTCTCCATGACGGTGTCCTCCCTTTCCTGGTGGAAAACCAGCAGAGGGTCAAAGCACCTACCTGCTTGGTGCCCTCCAGGGTTTGAGGCACTTCATGGCTCCTTTCTGTCCTCTCCTTCCATGTAAAGCACAGATGGCTGCATGTCAGTGGTCAGGTCAGTGGTGTGAGGCGGTCAACTGGATGTGACCGGAGAACAGCTGGGAGGGGGGTGACTACTCCTGAGTCACCGTGTGGCCAGCAGGTCAGGTCATCCTGGTGCTGGGTGCCTCCTACTGCCTCCTCCTCCTCCTCCCAAGCTTCTTCCTCCTCTTTCTTTATCTTCCAACCTCTTCCCTCCTCCTCCTACCGCCTCTCAGCACCTCCCACAACCTCCCACTCCCTCCTCCCTCCTCCCTCCTCCCGCTCCCAGCTCCTCCCCCCCAGCTGCTCCCCCTCTTCCCACCTCCTCTTATTTCCTTCTCCCTCTTCCCAAATCCTCCTCCCTCCCTGCTCTGCAAAACTTCAGGATGTGTGGTGGCTGGGATAGGTGACCTTCGGTCAGGCATGGACCAACATTTTCTGTTTCATGTGTTACCAGAGCGGTACTCACTTTAATAGGTATTGGGAAAAACAAAACATAAAGCAGTTAGCACACTGAGCTCTTGATTTCACAGACGAGATTTCTGTAGGGAGGCAAATTGACAAGAGAGCCCCTTTCAGGTGGGGTTAGAGGGATGATGGGTTTGATGCTGCGGGGGTGATGAGGGAGGACAGGGTCTGAGCAGCTGATGGAGCCTGAGAGACAGTAAGGGGTCCATGCTCAGATTCAGATGCCCAGGGTCCAGCCTGGCTCTGCTTGTGGCTGGGAGGCTTGGGCAGGCCAGTGCACCTCCACAAACTTCAGTTTTGCCATCTGTCCTATAAGCATGAGTGGCAGCAACTCACAGGGGTGTGGCAAGGGTCAGGTGAGAGATGAGGGAGGACAACCTGTGGGAGTTTAGCACAGCTGTAGCAGCGAGGCCTGTGTTGTCAGTATTAATGCCATCATCATCCTCAGTGGCTTTCTTCCGGGTGTGGTGACCCACGGCTTTCACTTAGGGAGAGGCTGTGAGCTCATCACTCCCATCCTCTGCAGAGCCCCCCGGGGGCCATCCTTCTTAGACTTGGGGAAGACTCCTGGGGAGTACCAGGCTCAGGGCCGGGCAGACTGGGTGTGTGTCTGGCTCACTGTAGGCTGAGACTCAGCCCTATCTCACAGGGGCGTGAGAGAGTGTAGCTTAGAGACACCTAACAGAGGTCTTGTCCCCATAGCCAAAGGTTTCCACAGCAGGATCTGGGGCCCAGCCTTCCTGCTGAGGGCTGCTGAGGTTGGGCTGGTGGGAAGGCCACCTGCATGCCCTGTCCTGAAGGACCTGTGGATCCAGGCTCTCCAGAGTTCCACCCCCAGCCACCCTCAGGGACCACATTGCTTTGCAGAGAAAACAGAACTGGGTCTCAGGCAGCACAGCTGAGGAGACAGTGGGAGGAGGGAGGGTGCTGCGGTGGAGCAGGCTGGGCTGTCAGAAGGATAGACACAGTGGGCTCTGGGTTCTCATCCCCAGGTTGCTTTATACAGAGGCAGACACCTCCCTTGGTAGAAGAGGCAGAAATCCCCCCTTGGTAGAAGTTGTATCCTGTCAGCTCCTTCCAGTGAACACAGGAAGCTACAGCAGCATGGTCGTCTGAATCCAGTTGCCTGCGTGTGGCTCATGGGCTGTGTACCTGGAGCTTCAGGGCCACTGGACCCACTCAGCCCGTGGAGTCGTGAGTGGGAGAGACTGGAGTGGGCCAGGTAAGAAGGGCATGGAGATGGGGGCTCTAGGGACCTGTGTTTTGATGCTCAGAGGGTTGTAAGATCCTAGGCCTGTCCACTTCTCAAGAGTATTGATGGAGGGAGGGTCCGCAACCTGCCTTCTCCCCTGGCGGAGGAGTTTCAGATCTCCCTGGCCCTCCCATGGCATCTGTGCCACACAGAACTTGGAATCAGAACTTCTTTCATAGACTCAAACTCACATTTATAAAATCTTTGGATCTCAGAATCTGAGCATCTGGTCCTTTTCACAGAATCCTAGAATTCTAGAATCATCTGATCTGTGGACTTTCAGACCCAGGAATTGCAGAATTAAGGAAGCTCTGGAGGAGACTTGACCCTCCCCCATGACTTGTTAGATTCCTGAAAGCCTAGACTCAGCCTCAAGAAATATGGACTAGAACTGAACAGACATCCTAAAATCAGACTCAGCCCAGGAATGGCTTAGTCAACTCCCCACAGGTTACCACCTAATAGGGTCACCTGTTACATTGGTGGCAGCTCTGGCTGCTGAGGCTGAGCCTAAATTTGATCCATGTGACTGCCCACCCCTCTCTGTCTGCAACTCAGAGACTAAACCTAGTCAAGCATAGTCTGACCTTTCCCAAAGAGCTCTGAATTCCCAAGGGCTGGGTCAGCTGCTAGGACACAGGAGCACAGTGGCCATGCTCAGCCCAACTGGACTCACTTCACTCAAAAATAAGATCCAGTTTGCTCCTATTCTAAAGAAGGGACTGGTCAGGGACAGAGACAGACAAGAAACAACTTAGGGAAAACATTGAGTCATGAAACCAAGAAGAAGTGATGTTCCTTCTCAGGAAAAGAGAGAATACCAGAGCCAGGTGCAGATGAAAAAGCCTGGTCTATGGACAAGTAGTCAGTTATCCTGACCTTGCTACTGAGTGCTGGGAAATTCTGGGCAGGTTACTCTATGTCGAAGAACCTCAGTTTCTCCACCTGTAAAATGGGCAGATAAGCCAATGCTGTGATTTGTGCAGGGCTGGGTTGGGATTCAGCGACAGTGCTCACCTCCAGCATGGCCCTTAGTCACAAGTCAGGACAGAATAGGTTGTTCCTCATCCTCCATCCTCAGGCCTTAGATGTGGAGGATGTCCCAGCTGGAGGGAGCAGCCTGAGCAAAGGCCTGATAACCAGAGCCAGTCAGGAGTGCTTGGGAAGCACACGCAGTGTTCCTGGGGTGTCACAGAGTGGGGTGTGGCTGCTGGGAGCCATGTCATGTAGAGAGAGTGCTGGTCCACTTTTTGTGGTACTTACATCAGTCTGGGGACAGAATGTCACTTGCCTCCTGGGACCCTCCTTAACCAGAAAGGAGCAGAAGAGTTAAACCAACTAAAACAGAATCATCAGGAAAGACAAGAGCTGCTTCCAGGCAAACCCCAGCCCTCGATACATGGAGCAGCTGGACCTCACGCCCAGCATGGGAACATTGGCGGTGTCGAGGAGACCTGGCCAGGTTATATTCTGACACTAAGAACTGGACTCAAGTCCCCTGCTGGGGAATAGAACAGCGAGTCTCCTGATGAGCCCAGGGCCTGGCACCAGCATCGCAGATTTGGGGAAGCAGCCAGAGGTGAGTTGGGGGGTCACAGTCTGGTTGGGACCTTCGTTCTGCCCTCACGAGCTGTGTGGCATGGGACAAGTTTCCTAACCTCCCTGTGCCTCTGTCCCCTGTGAGACGAGGCCATACTCCAGGTCTTGTTCAGGTGATGGGTGGTTTTTCTCTCTAGCTACCTGGCCTCACTCAGGACTGCACTGTTCAGTGACATGAGTTCACTCTCCCATCTCCCAGATCCCAGAGTCCGGGCCATTCCCTGCTGCTGTCCAGCTCTTCCCCAGAGTACAGAGTGAACCCTGTGCATGTCCCTAGCCTCCCTGCAAACAACTGCTGTCTCCCCACAGTGCCCATGAAGAGTCAGGGAAGTTTAAAGACCTTGATATGACCTCACCAGAGTCTTTGTCTCTCAGATTTTGCCTGCATCCCCCGTCGGTCAACTCATCTTTCCAGGTCACTCAGGGACTGTGCATTAATAGGTGGATCCTGGAGGTCAGGTTGGAACCTCCCTTCTACAGGGGTCCTGTGGACTCTCAGAAGTTTCTGGGTGACCTGGGCTAAGCCGCTGGCCCTTGCTCTGCACTGGGAGTCCCTTCCCTGCTGCGAGGGGATCTGAACATCAGCATGGCTCTGGGCCTGGCAAACCCTTTGCCTCTGGTGAGTTTTCAGAGAGCAGAGGCTGGTCCTCTGCCCCACTCCTCATGGTCCCGTGTTCCTGTCTGTGTCCCTGTCAGTGTCGGTGTCATTCCTGAGACTTGTTCCACTAGAGAGCAGAGCACGGGAGGAGATCTTTCCCTGAGCATCTGACTTCTGAGTGGGAGGTGCTGATGCAGGAGTCGAGCCTGATGTGGCGTCAGCTCTACTGAGCTGAGAGGTGATGAACTGGATCATATTCAAACTCGAACACACTTTTTGCTTTGGTGAGGTGTATACTGCAGCTAACTGCTCATTGGTTGACTGCACAAATTAATTGGTTTTATTGCTGCTACTTGAACCTCTGGAGCCGTGACTTGCAAATATATGCAGATGAGCAGAGGAGTGGGTTAACCCAAAGCTTGGGGAGAATCTGCCTCGATTGGGCTGCTTTCTCTGCTTGTCTTTTCTGGAGTATTTCTCCCAAATTCCAAAGCAGAGGGTTTCGAGGTGAGGTGTGGGATGTGGGGGAGAAGGGACCTTAGAGTTAGAAGAAGCTGGGTTCAAATCCCAGCCCGGTCTCTTTCTGTCCTGTGTGACCTGGGCCAGCCCCATCAGCTGTCAGGGCCTGAGTGCCACCATCCCTGGGAGGAGGAGGACAGTGCTGTCAATAGGGCGGGGCTGGATGGAGCCAGGGCAGCTCAGTGGGCACGAACCACACAACTGCTGTGAGCATACCTGCTGTGCGGAGTAGGCCCCCGCCAGCCCCTTGGTGAACAGCGACTGTTCTTCAGCTGAGCCCTGGCCTCTTCTCCATCTAGCGCTGTACCGTTTCATGTGTGACCTTTGTCAACTGCGGCCATTCCTCTGGGAGAGCTTATTGTTTGAAATTTGAACAGCCTGGTAGTGTCAGTCTATATAACAGATGCAAAGCGTGGCTGTGCAAAAACCACACAGATTATGTAGGAAGAGGCTGAGGTGGGCCGGGGCCTGGCTGGGCCTCTGAGGGGTGGGTGCTGGGGCCGGGGAGGGGGAGGTGGCTCGGGTGTAGGATTTGTTCAGAAGCATCTTGGAGAAGCTGACTCTGAGTGGGTGCAACTTGCACAGTTTGCCCAGTGTGGTGGGGAGAAGCACCTGCGGTGTGCCAGGACTTCTTATTTTTCTAGAGGGGAACCTGCATCCTGAGACCGTCTCATCCGCGTTCACTCAGCTTGTTAAATAGCAGCAGGGGGATTTGAACTCAGGACTGGCTGACTCCAGAGTC